AGAATTAGGGTATGGCCTCAAACGAAACAAAATATTCTCCACCCGGCCCTCCTCGGGGGGAGGGAGTGGTGCGTTCACCATCTCCCAAAAAGCAGATCCCTCCATCTCTGGGTCACCCGTCTCAGGGCCGCTTGCTCTTCCGCTTGCCGCCAGTTTTGGCGGGGGCCTGGACGGGTTGGTCGGCCTGCCTACACCCGGCTGCACAGCGCTGCTTGGGTGGAGGCTGCTGCGGACACAGGGGGCCACCCTCGGCGACCTGGAGGCAGCAGCTGCCCGCCGGGGCAGGATGTGTCGAATCGCCTCAGTCTGCTTCTGTGCAGCCAGAACTGCTGGGCAAAGCTCTCCACCGCGTCACCGAAGAGGCCGGTCTGGGACACAGGGGCATTAAGGAACCGAACCTTGTCGGTGTCCCTCATGTCGGCCAGACACAGCCATAGATGGCGCTCCTAGACCACAAGCATGGACATTGCACGACCCAGAGAACCCGCGGTGACCTTCGTCGCTTGGAGCGCGAGGTCAGTGGCGGTTCGGAGCTCTTTCATAACTTCCGGATCGTGACCTACCTCGTGCAGGTCCTTCAGTGCCTTGGCCTGGTGCACCTGCAGTAACGCCATAGCGTGTAAGGCGGAAGCAGCTGCCCCGCAAGCCGTATAAGCGTTAACTTGCCCAGAGAGCAATTTCGGATGTTGATTGCTGCATCGGAGGGAGAGCTCTCTGGAGAGGAGATGGTGCAGAGAAGGGGTATGCGGCGATCCCCCCCGGTGGGCATTCCTTCGGCGGCTCTGCTGGTTGAGGAGCACTGGAGGAGTGGTGGGCCCCAGAGGGTTGGTTCCCTGAGGGGTTTGCCACCACTGTAACCCTCAGACCGCCTGCGCTACTGCTGGAAGTAGTCCTCATCTGGCCGCCGCCAGAACGAGCACTGGATCGCGGCAGAGGCAACGGAACTCCGCCCCCTGAAGGTAGCGAAGCCTACTCCGCAGCTCCGAAATGGTCATCTTCCCGCAATGGGAACATGACTCATCCACGAATGCCACCTCAGTGTGCTTCAAGCCCAGACACGTGAGGCAGCGACGCCAGGTAATGACCGCACCCAGAAACGCACGGGTGAAACGGCATCTTTAAAACGACGATCCGTCCTCTTTACAAAGACGCACCCATAGAGAAATTGCTCTTTCAGGGAAATGCTCTTTTAGTGCTGACGTGCACAGGGGAAATGGCCGCTGGCAGTACAACAGGGGGTAGTGCAGCCTGAAGTGCGCAACCCACTCGACACAGGAACGACCACCGCTGAAGCGCCGTCCGCCAACACCAGAAGCTTCCAAGAGCGCGTTGAACTCGTAGCTTACTGAAGACACTTGGATGGAGCAGAACGATGTTGTCGCTCGGCTCCAAAGTGAAAAGCTGGTATGCATTGCACCGGCTGCCTTTTTATGCTCACGCTGTGATCAGCGGCAGCTGGATGCAATAATTGCATGCCAATGTGCATTGGCTCGTTTAGTTACACTCGAAGTAGATTGGTCTCTCGAAGCGAGATCCCCAATTCGTCGGTCACCGACGTGACTCGGAGTGACCGACTGAAAGGGAACTGAACTGCATGACTAGTGACAATTATTTTCTAAAAAGGTTTTTCCGAGACACAATGTTGTGGTACAATGCATAGTATTCATCATGTCCTCATCCTGATGAATTTTGGAAACAAATGCAAACAAATGCAAATAGATGCTGAATTTAACACATTTCCAGGCCTCCAAAAATTTAATTTAAATAAATAAAATCTTTAAAGGTCACATATTTGACACCTCTCTGGAGTTTTATTTTAGGTTTTGATGTCCTTAAGAATATATATTTGCGGTATAAGTACCAAAAACCATCTCAATATATTTTTACAGCTCCTCTCTCAGGAGATCTGTTGAGAACAGGTCGATTTTGGCCTGTCTAATTAATATACATGAGCCTCTCTTCTGATTGGCCTGTTGTTTTGTTTCCTGCTGAAATTGAAATGTATATACATCTTCATCATAACTAAGTTAGATAGACACGGTGAGTTTATCTTTACTATACAAGTTAGATGTGATCCACCTCATTGTAACAATCCTGTCAGATTGTCTATCCTTTGAGTGAGAGTGTAACATTACAGGTCGGTCGATCTGGTTTCGTGGTTAAAGTTAACCTTTTTGACATGTTTCCGTGTTGTTGTTGCTCAGCAATGGCATGGACGCAATGTTGTCTGGGGGTTTGGCGGTGGGAAGGAGAGTGGGACGGTGGGCGGTGCTCGGGGTGGTGACTGAAGGTGGTGACTGTGTAGTTCTGATGTCAACTTTTGACGGAAGTCACAACGGTTCATGAAAAGTCACCGCTACTTTATGCAGGCTGTGTGCATTTGACTGTGGACTGACTGTTTTGAAACTTATATGGTAGTTAAATAGCCCCTAGACCTAGAAAAAATCCAGGAAATTTCAGTTTTGACAATATGGGACCTTTAACAGTAACTACATTACTGTTCAAAAGTTTGGTATTGTAAGGTGTTTTTAATGTTTTTTGAGTGAAGTATTTTATGATCACTTTTTCGATCAAAATACAGTAAAAACTGTAATGTTGTAAAATATTATAGCAATTTTAAAGAGCTGTTTTGTATTTGAACAAATTGTTAATTGTTTGGTTAGTTAATACACTACCAAAAAAGTTAATGCATTAAATTGATCAAAAGTTATAGTAAATACATTTAGAATGTTGCAAAGGATTATATTTAAAATAAACGCTCTTCATTTGTACTTTAAATTTATCGACAAATCCTGAAAAACATTGATAAGAAACATTATCAATAATTGAATACCAATAATAACTGATGATAACTGAGCAGCAAATCAGCATATTAGTGATTTCTGAAGGATCATGTGACACTGAAGACTGGAGTAATGATGCTGAAAATTCAAGGAATAAATTGCATCGTAAAATATATTCAAATAGAAAGCAGCTATGTTCAATTGTAATAATAGTTTACAATATTCCTGTTTTTACTGTATTTTTGATTAAATAAGTGCTGAAAATTACACATATTTAAGACTTAATTAAAGCAGCTTAATTATTCCAGACTTTTGACTGGTAGTGTGTATATTTCTTTCTTTCAATTCTGAAATATTTCTCCTGGTAGAAATGGTTCTCTGTGAGTGCAATCACTATTAAATTATGATTATCAAGAATAGCTGTAAAGCCCTGGAAGTTTATTGGTCAAAATTTGTGGACACACTCTAACACTTATATAACCGATGCAGACTAGATGTGGGTTTATTGTATTTGGTGGTTGTGATGGATGTAGGGTCCTCGGCCGGCGCTGTTTGTTCCTGAGGTCAGTTTTGAGCTGCTGGTGAAGAAACAGATCAAGAGACTGGAGGAGCCCAGCCTGCGCTGTGTGGAGCTCGTACACGAGGAACTTCAGAGAATCATCCAGCACTGCTCTGCCTACAGCACACAGGTGCTTCACTGACTATTAATATTTGATGCAAAACATCCACGCTTGTATTATAACGTGTAGTTAGATGTTAAAGGAATAGGTCACTCAAAAAAAAATAAAAAATTCTTGAAAAGGTATTCACCCTCAGTCCATCCATAATGTAGATGATTTGCAGAAATGTAGCATTACATCACTTGCTCACCCATGGATGCTCTGCAGTGAATGGGTGCCGTCAGAATGAGAGTCTAAACAGCTGATAAAAACATCACAATAATACACAAGTAATCCACACCACTCCAGTCCATCAGTTAACATCTTATGAAGACAAAAGCTGCGTTTTAAAGAAACAAATCCATCATTAAGTAATTTTAACTTTTAAAGCATCGCTTCTGCCCAAGATACAAGTCCATAATACATAACAAAGCTCCCTTCAGTGAAAAGGTATATTCCTTCTTGTCCTCTCACATCAAAATCCAAGGACATATTTCTTTAGAACTGTGTTGGACTGTGTGCACTTGTAAAAGTCATATTTGTCATCTGATTCAGACTAAATTTTTTCACTGGAGAAAGCATTATTATGGACAGAGTTTATTTTAGTTGGAAGCAATGGCTTGAAGTAAAAAACTGTTTGAAGAGTTCATTTGCAAAAACACACAACATAAAAATGTTCAAAAATCATGTCCCTCTTTTACGTTCATGTGTATGTATAGTAATGCTTCAGTTTAGGGACTAGTTTTCACAAATAACAAGTTGCTTGTGTATTACTAGCATATTGGCTGTTTGTTAGTACTTAATAAAGCACATATTCTGCATCCCTAATCTCTACCCCATATCTAAACTTAACAACTATCTTACTATTAATAAGCAGTAATTAGGAGTTTATTGAGGCAAAAGTCATAGTTAATAGTGAGAACTGGACCTTAAAATAAAGTGTGACGATATGAGGTTATTAGTATCATGGTTAGTATTGGATATATAATTGTGTATGCTCATCCCCCATATTTTTACAATCTTCATCAAATCTTAACAAAATAAATCTGCATTTTTCATACAATACGTTATATTGTTGTGATGCCTAAATTCACATTGTGAGTTAAAGTTAAGGTGAAACCACTGCTTAATCTGTGTGGAGAAATAATTCACCCTCACACAAAATTCCTATTGAAATAACTGGATTTTACCAAAAATCCAGAGTTCGGAAATTCACCAAACATAAACAGTGGTAAATGTGACCACGTCATAATTGATTTTCATTTTTAGTGTTGTGTTCTAAATTTATTAAGATAAAATAGTGTATAATGTTAATATTGGCCATTTATCGCTTATCAGTGGTAACATTAAAATAATTATTGCCTTATTGATATCACCAAATATTATTATTATTTTTGTTATTCATTTATTGTTATCAGTCAGTATTGGATATGTAATTGTGTGCATGCTTATTTCCCCAATTGTTACATTTCATTTAGCTTTACCATCATCCAACACTAACTCTTAACAGCACCATTAATTGTAATATTTATCAAATTATAATAAAATCCATGTCTATTTTAAGGTGCTGCCATTTCTGCAAAATTCCACAGGCAATAGTATACTGATTTATTTAAATGTAATTCTGTAATATCATGCATATTGGTGGTAACTGAAAAAGATTATCGAAACCAACATCTGCCTTACTGATATCAGGCAGAATTTTAATTCCGCAAACACACACACAATATATAAAAATCCTGAGCGCATGACACATTCAGAGCACAGTTTGGACTAATTCTGAAAATGTGTCGTCATGTTAATTCATGTTTGCTTCTTCTCAGGTTCATAATCTAGTTGCAATCGAGTTGGCCTATATAAACACCAAACATCCTGATTTCACAGACGCTGCCCAAGTGTCTGCATCTGTCAACAGCCAGCAGGTACTGAAACTCTCTCTGTCTCTCCATCTTTCTCTCTCTCTCTCCAAATCCATACGGGAGTAGTTTTTGTCTCTTTCACAGGCGGAGGCTGGGGATGGAGGTAAGCGATGGAAGAATGAGAAAATGCCGTCAGAGGATAAAGGCCCCGTGCCAGGGTTTGGGAGTCCCACTAAAGCCATCAACCTGCTGGACACGGTACTATCTCATAACTACAGAAGCCAACAATACCTGGACGTTCAGAGAAAACCCATGAAAGACAAATAACTTCTGAAAATGTTTCTGTAGGCCGTGCCAGTATCCCGCAAGCTGAGCACTCGAGAGCAGAGGGACTGTGAGGTCATCCAGCGGCTCATCAAGTGCTACTTCCTGATCGTGCGCAAGAGCATCCAGGACAGGTCAGATTCATAGTGCCACATAACTGGATGACTAGGAGTCACTTCGCATCTGATGCTTTTTTTTCTGCGTTCTGTAGTGTGCCAAAGACGGTGATGCACTTCCTGGTGAATTTTGTGAAGGAGCATTTGCAGAGTGAGCTGGTCGGTCAGCTCTACAAACAGCGTCTGCTGCAGCAGCTGCTCATCGAGTCTCAGGAAACTGCTCAGCAGCGCACAGAGGTTGCACACATGCTGGAGGTACGTCTGTGTGTGTTTGAAGTACATTTAAACCTTATAATGCATTGGGGTCAGTTTTGACCTGGAAGAAATGAAAAACAAAATGAATAAAAAAATTATTGGTTTTAGAATAGGAACCAGGCTGTGCAAATAGGCCAAGACTATCAAAATACACATCAGTTATTTATTTTTATTTTTTATTTAAGACTTTTTTTAAAGATATGTAACCATTTTAAAAAATGTTTTTACTTTTTTGTGTGTGTAGCCATTATTGGCTTACACCTGATATTATGCATTTTTTTAATGAGTTTCTCTCAAAAATATGGAACTTTTTTTTTTTCTCTTATTCCCCAAACACTTTTAGGACTACATTTTGTTAGTAAACATGAATATACATGCCTATTGAGAAACCACTGCTGCATGAAAAACTAATATTTTTCATCTAGGAGTAAAAATGTACAGTATGTCAGTAATATGTATATGTTTAGTTTAATACACTCCAGATTAATATCGATGTTGTTTTGGTAGACAATTAATATGTAGACTTGTGAAGACTTGTAATTTTAAACCTCTTAAATCATTTTTTTTTTTTTTAATATTTTTCAAAGTTTTTAAATTCCTTGTTTTATTGTTGTGATTATTGTTTTTATTTTATTTTATGTAAAGCACTTTGAATTACCATTGTGTATGAAATGTGCTATACAAATAAACTTGCCTTGCCTTGCCTTGCCTAGATATGTAGATTAATATGTAGCCATGAGTTAAAAGGAATTTAGTAAAAACCATTTCATTTAATACTGGTAATTCTCATGTTTTTATAAATTTCATACAATGATATATTCAAATAACATTTCTCATAAATATTGATAAATTATTATTTTCTTGCATCACACTTTTGCTGTAGTTGATGTATAATTTGTAATTTCAAAGATTTTCTAATAAAAAAAATTACTTTTTAACTTTTTTTTGAATGTGTCCTTGTTACACGTTACATGTACTTACTACTATAATAACAATCAATTATGCATAATTACATGCAAGTAACCTTAAACCTAACCCTAACCATATAGTAAGTACATGTAGTTAATCAGTACTATGTATTATTACACTGTAACAAGGACACCTTACATAAAATGTAACCAAAAATTAATAAAAGCTAGTAATCTGTAAATAACTAATTTCAAAGATTTTCTAATAAAAAAAATTACTTTTTAACTTTTTTTTGAATGTGTCCTTGTTACACGTTACATGTACTTACTACTATAATAACAATCAATTATGCATAATTACATGCAAGTAACCTTAAACCTAACCCTAACCATATAGTAAGTACATGTAGTTAATCAGTACTATGTATTATTACACTGTAACAAGGACACCTTACAAAATGTAACCAAAAATTAATAAAAGCTAGTAATCTGTAAATAACATGATAACATTCAAAACTATAAAATATTTGCACATTCACTCATTAATGAGGTATGAAAGTTTTATAACTTTTATAAGTTTAATGGCTTCTGAATAGAAAATCATATGCATATATTGAATGCTTTACTACTGCTTGTGGTTTTATATATTTTTAGCAGCAGCGTTTCAGTTCGCATGCTGAGAGTCTGCTGTGCTGTGTGTACTCTCATAAAAGTTGTCTTTAAATCCATCCCATCTTAAGCACCGCCACATCCATACTCATTAAGGCATTGGCCGTTTCAGATGCCACATCTAGTTAATAGTTGTCCGAATTTTAAAAACGAGACGACTCTTCCAATCCATTGCACTTAATAGCTGGTGTGTGGTGGGTGTTCTGACGCACTATAGCAAATGTTGCATGTCAGCCATGCATTGTGTACTCATATGCGATGTCTAGCTGTTTTTGAGCACAATAATGTATTCTGTGTGCACAGTGTGTGTCTTCAACAAACATTCAACCATATTAACTATCAGTGTTGGAGAGCTACTTTGAAAACGCAGACTGTCAGGCTACAAGCTACTCATGATCAATGGACTGTAGTAGTAACACATTTTGTACACAAGGTGTTAGTAAGCTAATAAAATTAGCAGACAATAAGTCTTACTCACTAAACGTGTTTGTACACACTTTTGTGTAAAAACTGCATATGAAAGTGTGGTAACACTTTATTTTAAGGTTTAATTCTCACTATGAAATAGTTGCTTAATAGCATGCATATTACTAGCATATTATCTGTTTATTAGTAGTAACTATTAATAAGCAGCAAATTAGAAGTTGATTGAGACAAAAGTCATAGTTAATAGTTAGTTAATAGTAAAAATTAGTCTCTAAAGAGTAACTGATAGTGTTCATACAGAAATCATGATTCATCAGTAGGTTGCACTAAAATTTATTTTAAACCAACTGAAATTACATCTAAACAAAAACGTCACATTTACACTGGTCTTAGAAATAAGTTAAGCCAGTTATTTTTATTATTTTTTAAATAGTGTATAGTATTGGCGTGTATTTGTGTATAAGTATATAGTAAGTGTATAGTATTAGAGATGGAAACTAAGTTGAGTCAAGAGTAGTGATGGGAAGTTCGGATCATTTTACCGACTCGGACCTTTGAGTCTCGTTCAGCAAAATGAACGAATCTTTTTTCGAGTCATTTCGTTCATTTTAGCAAAATATAATTAAAATGTTACGTGTTACTTCCCTAATACATCTACTACTTACTCAAACGTTGATCACACTACAAACAGTACAAAACTGCTTTAAGAAACAGAAAAGATTAATTAATTGTTTACCTGGGTCTTCAGTCTATGATTAGCTCACCTCACCTCTTATCTGACAAGTCTTCGGGTTTGAGTCGTTCGTTCATCACGTGACAGCCCCATACGCTTTAACCAATGCTGTCTGAGCCGGAAAGAGAATTGATTGGTTCATCTCTCGAGTCTTTCGAATCATTCGTTCTTTTGTCAGTATTTGTCGTTCTTGCTGTCATGACGTGACAGCATTGGATAGAGAAATTAGTTCATTTACAAGTTTCCTTACAAACGGGTGCATAGTTATTATTATTATTATATATTAATATTTGAATTTCTGTCATTATGGTTCTTTTCCATAACACTGAATGATGTAACAAAGGAAATAAAGAGTTGGTTATTATTGTTAAGTCTCTTTCCGGCTCAGACTGCATAGGTTAAGCTTATGGGGCTGTCACGTGATGAACGACCGACTCAAACCCGAAGACTCGAACCAGGTGAACTACTTGACTAATTCCAGTACAGAACGACCCAACACTAGTCAAGAGCAGTGTTTCTCAACTGGTGGGTCGCAAGACCGCTCTGAGCGGGTCACGGAGTGTACAGTCAAAGAAACAACAAAAAACGTAATTCTAAATGTTTTTCTGATGCGAGACTTTTATTTTAAAAGACGTGCATGAAAGCTGTTGTCGACACTTCTGTCAGATGCAGTTTAAGTAAAGAGTGCCTGAGAAAAGCGCGCTGTCCCGATTCAGCGTCTGCGGTCTGATGAGATGATGTCAGGCTTAATGTCAGTGTCATTATCCTATCGTTATTTTCGTAACTTGTTACGAAATAAAAAGTCTCTCACCTCAGAAAGACGAACTATTCTGTCCTGTCAGACGTTATACCGTGCTTGTAGTGCGCACTCGTCAATTGCAGCGCGATGTATATCAGTTCACAGTTACATTATATATCTGTGTGTGCGTGCTGTATATACAGTGGGTACGGAAAGTATTCAGACCCCCTTAAATTTTTCACTCTGTTATATTGCAGCCATTTGCTAGATGTATATCAGTTCACAGTTACATTATATATCTGTGTGTGCTGTATATATAAATACACACACACACACACATACAGTATATATTTTGAAAATATTTACGTGTATATATTTATATTCATATAATTTATATTATATAGTAATATATAAACATAACATATATTTTTCTTAAATAAATATATGCATGGTTGCATATTTATATATACACATAATAAATATACACAGTACACACATTGTCACACTTCACACAATGAGGACTGGAACGAAGGAGCAAGGAGACGAGGGATAAACTTCAACATGGATCTCACTGGGCGGAACTGGGGATCAGGAGCCCTCCCTGGGCTTAACTGGGGATCCTGAAGCCCTCCCTGGCTTAACTGGAGATCTGAAGTCCTCCCTGGGCTTAACTGGGGATCTGGAGCCCTCCCCTGGGCTTACCGGGGGATCAGAAGCCCTCCCTGGGCTTAACTGGGGATCAGGAGCCCTCCCTGGGCTTAACTGGGGATCCGAAGCCCTTCCTTGGCGGAACTGGGGATCAGGAGCCCTGCCTGGGCTAAACGGGGAATCAGTAGCCCTCCCTGGGCTTAACTGGGGATCCTGAAGCCCTCCCTGGGCGGAACTGGGGATCCTGGAGCCCTCCCTGGGCTTAACTGGGGATCCTGGAGCCCTCCCTGGGCTCAACGGGGGAGCTGGAGCCCTCCCTGGGCTTAACTGGGGATCTGGAGCCCTCCCTGGGCGGAACTGGGGATCAGGAGCCCTCCCTGGGCTAAACGGGGAATCAGGAGCCCTCCCTGGGCTTAACTGGAGATATGAAGCCCTCCCTGGGCTTAACTGGGGATCTGGAGCCCTTCCTGGGCGGAACTGGGGATCAGGAGCCCTCCCTAGGCTAAACGGGGAATCAGGAGCCCTCCCTGGGCAGAACTGGGGATCAGGAGCCCTTCCTGGGCTTAACTGGGGAACAGGAGCCCTTCCTGGGCTTAACTGGGGAACAGGAGCCCTTCCTGGGCTTAACTGGGGAACAGGAGCCCTTCCTGGGCTTAACTGGGGAACAGGAGCCCTTCCTGGGCTTAACTGGGGAACAGCTGGGGATCAGGAGCCCTCCCTGGGCTTAACTGGGGATCTGGAGCCCTCCCTGGGCTTAACTGGGGAACAGGAGCCCTCCCTGGGCAGAACTAGGGATCAGGAGCCCTTCCTGGACTTAACTGGGGAACAGGAGCCCTTCCTGGGCTTAACTGGGGAACAGGAGCCCTTCCTGGGCGGAACTGGGGAACAGGAGCCCTTCCTGGGCGGAACTGGGGAACAGGAGCCCTTCCTGGGCTTAACTGGGGAACAGGAGCCCTTCCTGGGCGGAACTGGGAATCAGGAGCACTTCCGGGGCTTAACTAGGGATCAGGAGCCCTCCGTGGGCTATACTCGGGAACTAGAGCCCACACCGGGCTGGATTCGGGGACTGGGACTGGCAAGTTTGACTGAGGAACCACCGGCGGGCTTGCCACATGAACGCTTAACGGGCTTGCCACATGAACGCCCGGCGGACTTGACTGAGGAACGGCCAACGTTTCTGGGCTGAGGACAGAGATGGGTGGTCAGAACATTTGGATGGGTATGTGGAGGGTCCTGGCGAGGGGTGAGCTGGTGAGGCGCGGTGGTTTTCGGGAGGGACTGGATGATGATCGAGCCAAACTTTTTCTACCTCCAGATTAACTCCATTTAAATACAGGACATGATTAACCAGCTCGATCAGAGGAAAACTATACGTGGGAAGATCGCAGCCGATTACGTCGTCATCCAGCCCCAGCCGAAAACAGACACCGAGAGCAGAATTGAACCAGCTCACCTGGTTAGAGCACTCTAGGAACACTTCTACATCTTCTACATACCTCTCCAATTTCTAGACATCTTGTTTTGGGCCGGTTGTTCTGTCACGCTTCACACAATGAGGACTGGAACGAAGGAGCGAGGAGACTAGGGATAAACTTCAACATGGACAACGAACGCAGGGAAACAAACACAGGAACTCAGGAGTGACATCCAGGAAGACAATGCAACAACTGACGACACTAACTGAAAGGACTGGGGTTTTTAAGCACAGGATATCAAGGGACTAATGAGATACACCTGGAATCAAATGAACAATCAACATGAGATCACAGCCAATATGGGCTAAAAACAAAAGCAGTGCTAATATATTTGATAATGTGAATGAAACTCAAATATGATGTTAAATTTAGAATAATTAATGATGTAACGCGTGACTGGTGTCTAGACATGGTGCAAATAAATAGTAGTGCAGCGTGAAGAGCCACAGAACAAAGAGCCATTGTGTTTAGTTGTGCTCTGAAACACTTCAAACCGCGCTTGGATGTGCCGGAGACTTGACTGCCATTTAATATTTATGCTTGTGTGAATATTTATTGTGAGAGTGAGTACGCCTGTGTCAAAGAAGGTCAAATGAGGAAGAACAAACTAAGATATGAAAACATTGGCTGTTTGACGCATTGAACACCAAGAATGAATAGTGTTTAGTGTCAAATACAAACAGTGCAAAATTAATGCCCAGCACAAATGTGGGCAGTGGGGCTGTAGAGAATTTGGTAGTTATTGTATTGCCTGCTAAAACCAATATTAATTTATGTGGTTATTTATGTTGGGGACAATGTTGCATATTTTTTTTATTTATTTCTTGTGATGGGACACATTATGCTTCAAACATTATGCATCTCTACCAACCAATCAGTCATAAAAAATAGACATGCTAGGAAGACTGAGAGAAGAGGGATAAATAAAATCAACATAAACATGTTTATATACATTGTCAAATACCTGAAAGTTAATAAGCATGCATTTCTCATTGACTGTCCTGCCTCATATTTATTTTTATATTTCAGAGGATATGTGTTACGCAGTGAGGATGTACTGTAGAGGTGTCGTAAATTTCAGGAGGTTTAAGTAGTTTACTTATTAGGCTGCTTGAGTGAAGTAGCATCCGTAGAAACGCTTCAGAGGTTGATGGGTTTTAATGAGCCCTGTTGCAATCTCAGCACTAATTACATGAAGTAGGTTTCCTGAAGTAGGGATAAACTTCAACATGGACAACGAACGCAGGGAAACAAACACAGGAACTCAGGAGTGACATCCAGGAAGACAATGCAACAACTGACGACACTAACTGAAAGGACTGGGGTTTTTAAGCACAGGATATCAAGGGACTAATGAGATACACCTGGAATCAAATGAACAATCAACATGAGGGAGAAACTGGGTCACATGGGGCAAAACACACAAAACATGGAACGGCGTCTGACACACATACTATGTGAACAAAAACATTTATTTTATTGGTCCCAAGGCCAAACCAGTTAAGAACCACTGCTCTAGAGAATAATTTATTTAAATAATAATAATAAGAAGAATGTATATTTTTATATATTTAATAATTATTGATCATAATTTCTGACCAACAATAAAAATAGCACAAAAAAATAGCAACAAATAAAAACAAAAATCTGAGCTGCTGGCAGGTTAACAACAACAACAAAAAAACGTAGTTAAGTTAGTAGCTTCTTAATTTTAGTTTGATATTCCCCAACATGGCTAGTTACTAGGTGTTTAATGATCCAGAACCAGCAAGTTTTTTATGCAGTTTGCTTTGTGTTACTAATGCTGCTCTTTCTGCTTTCTCCTTTAGGCGCTCAAGAAAGCCAGTAACATTATCTCAGAGATCCGGGAGACTCATCTTTGGTAGCCAAACGTTCTCATGAACATTCTGTCCAGGAAAGTGTTTACATGTTTGTGCGTGCTGTATGTGTGTGAGTGTACGACATAGGTCAAATACATCATCTGAAGAAATTCAATGCCTCTGCCAGCATGAAACATTCAACAAAATGTGTACAGTTTTCCAAATAGCCCATATTTCTACTGTATATGCACTGATTCCATAGCTGTGTGTTTGACAGAGGTCAAACGTGTGAGTGCGTTTATACTCAGTAGTGAACATATCAAGTCCATGCCGTTATCTTCAATATCATAAATGCTTCGTAATGGGTTTTCGCCATTATGATAAATACTTTCAGTTAGCGTTATAAGAATTAAGTAATGTCTCAAATGCTACTAAGAGCATCCCAAGAACAATTGAGCTCTCATACGCTCACATGACTGAAAACAGGAATCACACAATGAACGTCGTTATTTTTTCATCATTTACTCAACATGTCATTCCAAACCGTATAATTTTCTAGAATACAAGAGATGAAAAATGTTCACGCTGTGTTTTTTTTTTTCCCCCATTCAGTGAAAACATTAAAGGCTTTCAAGCTCTGAAATGGACTAAAAGCAACATAAATGTAGCATAAATCATCATAAAAGTAGTTCATGGGACTCATTAATTAGTTTTATGTGAGGAACAGACTGAAATCTAAGTCATTATTCACTGAATATAGATGTGGAATGACATGATGACGAGTAATTGACAGATTTGAGTGAACTATTCCTTTAATACGCTGTAAATATCATGTAATAAATGTGGTGTCCAGATTTACAGTAAATATAAGAAACAAAAAAACGCCCTTTATTAGATTTGGTTGCATTTGTCCATGTTGGCACAGTTGTATGTTACATATAAGCTTAAGTTATCACAGCCAATATGGGCTAAAAACAAAAGCAGTGCTAATATATTTGATAATGTGAATGAAACTCAAATATGATGTTAAATTTAGAATAATTAATGATGTAACGCGTGACTGGTGTCTAGACATGGTGCAAATAAATAGTAGTGCAGCGTGAAGAGCCACAGAACAAAGAGCCATTGTGTTTAGTTGTGCTCTGAAACACTTCAAACCGCGCTTGGATGTGCCGGAGACTTGACTGCCATTTAATATTTATGCTTGTGTGAATATTTATTGTGAGAGTGAGTACGCCTGTGTCAAAGAAGGTCAAATGAGGAAGAACAAACTAAGATATGAAAACATTGGCTGTTTGACGCATTGAACACCAAGAATGAATAGTGTTTAGTGTCAAATACAAACAGTGCAAAATTAATGCCCAGCACAAATGTGGGCAGTGGGGCTGTAGAGAATTTGGTAGTTATTGTATTGCCTGCTAAAACCAATATTAATTTGTGTGGTTATTTATGTTGGGGACAATGTTGCATATTTTTTTTATTTATTTCTTGTGATGGGACACATTATGCTTCAAACATTATGCATCTCTACCAACCAATCAGTCATAAAAAATAGACATGCTAGGAAGACTGAGAGAAGAGGGATAAATAAAATCAACATAAACATGTTTATATACATTGTCAAATACCTGAAAGTTAATAAGCATGCATTTCTCATTGACATCACTATATATTGTTGCAACACCGCCGCCACGACCAGTCTGACGCGGCTCATGCTTATAACAGATCTGGACGAGCTCACAGAATCTGAAACATCATATATCAGTTTCTGTGAAGACATGTGCATCCCTACCACACTCCTCCAGACCAAACTAACCCAGCTCTCTGTCCCTAGCTCTATCTGTCAATGGATCACCAGCTTTCTGACAGATAGGCAACAGCTAGTGAGAATTGGTAAATTCACATCCAACAACCGCACCACCAGCACTGGCACCCCTCAGGGTTGCGTCCTCTCCCCACTGCTCTTCTCCCTCTACACCAATGACTGCACCTCTAAAGACCCCTCTGTCAAGCTCCTGAAGTATGCAGATGACACTACAGTCATCGGTCTCATCAAGGATGGAGACGAGTCTGCTTACAGACAGGAGGTTAAAGAGCTGGCTGTCTAGTGCAGTCTTAACAACTTGGAGCTGAACACCCTCAAAACTGTGGAGATGATCGTGGACTTCAGGAGGAACCCCCCTGCACTCCCCCCACTCACCATAATAGATAGCACTGTAACGACAGTGGAGTCATTCATTCACATTGCCCCAGCAGAGGTTGTACTTCCTTCGCCAGCTGAGGAAATTCAACCTGCCACAGGAGCTGCTGAAGCAGTTCTACTCAGCCGTCATCAAGTCTGTTCTGTGCACTTCAGTAACTGTCTGGTTTGATTCAGCTACAAAATTTATTATCTGTGTGTTGTTGTTGTCTCTGTGTACTGGAAGCTTGTGACACTATAACAAATTCCTTGTATGTGCAAACATACTTGGCAATAAAGCTCTTTCTGATTTCTGATTCTGATCAGAATTGTGTGATATAAAGTCGCAATTACAAGTTATAAAGTCAGAATTGTGTTATATAGTCACAATTGCGAGTTATAAAGTCAGAATTGTGTGATATAAAGTTGCAATTACCAGTCATAAAGTCAGAATTGCGTTATATAGTCACAATTGCGAGTTATAAAGTCATAATTGCGTTATATAGTCACAATTGCAAGTTTTAAAGTCACATTTGCGTTATATAGTCACAATTGCAAGTTATAAAGTCAGAAGTGCATGATGTAAAGTTGCAATTACCAGTTATAAAGTCGCAATTACCAGTTATAAAGTCACAATTGCGAGTTATAAAGTCAGAATTGCGTGATATAAAGTTGCAATTACCAGTCATAAAGTCAGAATTGCATTATATAGTCACAATTGCGAGTTATAAAGTCAGAATTGTGTGATATAAAGTTGCAATTACCAGTCATAAAGTCAGAATTGCGATTTATAAAGTCAGAATTGCATGATATAAAATTGCAATAAGCAGTTATAAAAGTCGAAATTATCAGTTATAAAGTCAGGTGTATGTTAGACCAGTTTATGTGTGTATGTAGGATGTTAGACCAGTTTATGTGTTTATGTAGTATGTTAGACTAGGTTAAGTGTTTATGCAGTTAATAAAACCTTACTTGTATCACACTTGACGTGTTCATTGTTTGCTCATAACCGGAGTCACTAATCATGCAGATTTATGTTACAAGCTTTGTAGAATTGTACAGTAAGAAGTTATTTCCCTTAACCAGGAAATTAACGTTCTTAGAATTGACAGACAGTTGACCCTGAGTGGTCAGCTAAATATCTACAGTGGATCTAAAATATGAATAGTTAATTATAACTAGTTATGGTTAATTATTCATATTTCCTGTCGTTGAGCTAAAATTCGCTACAGAATTGTGAGTTATAAAGTCAGAATTGCATGATATAAAGTTGCAATTAGCAGTTATAAAGTCACAATTGCGACTTATAAATTCAGAGTTGTGTGATATAAAGTTGCAATTACCAGTCATAAAGTCAAAATTGCGTTAAATAGTCACAATTGCGAGTTATAAAGTCATAATTGCGTTATATAGTCACAATTGTGAGTTTTAAAGTCAGAATTGCATTATATAGTCACAATTGCGAGTTATAAAGTCAGAATTGTGTGATATAAAGTTGCAATTACTGGTTATAAAGTCAGAATTGCGAGTTATAGCCAGAATCGCATGATATAAAGTTGCAATTACCAGTCATAAAGTCAAAATTGCGTTTTATCGTCACAATTGCTAGTTATATAAAGTCAGAATTGTGTGATATAAAGTTGCAATTACCAGTTATAAAGTCAGAATTGCATTTTATCATCACAATTGCTAGTTATAAAGGCAGAATTGTGTTATGTAGTCACAATTGCGAGTTATAAATTCAGAATTGCGTGATATAAAGTTGCAATTAGCAGTTATAAAGTCACAATTACGACTTATAAATTCAGAATTGTGTGATATAAAGTTGCAGTTACCAGTCATAAAGTCAGAATTGCGTTGTGTTGTCACAATTGCGAGTTATAAAGTCATAATTGCATGATATAAAGTTGCAATTATATGCAATTAATGTTGCAATTGCGAGTTACCAAGTCAAAATTGCATGATATAAATCACATTTCTAAGAATTTTTTCCCTCTGAATTGGATTTTATAACTCGCAATAGCAAGTTTATCTCACAATTCTGAGAAAAAGTCAGTTCCATAGGCATTCTTGAACAATTGTTTTCTCCCCTTGTAATATTGTTGATAATGAATAGATTGTGGAATACTAAGAAGGTGGAGGTCTAATTTCAAGAAATAAATGAGGGAGGGTAGTGGACATCCCGGGTCACTAAAGACCCTATGCAGGCGTTCAAGGGTTTACATAGCTGGCACTGCTTGCCTTTCAGAGGAATCATATCATCAAACTGAACATGCAAATGAGATTATATTAACTCACCACTTGAGTATCAGTATCAGATTAACCTGGAGAAGTTTTCTTATAAAACTCATCTACGGGTGTCAATCCATGTAAATGTAATTCACCGAGACGTCTGGAAAGACAGCAGCAATTAATCGCATCTGAATTACACTATCACTTTCCAGAAGCTCTTACGTAGAAGTAATTGCGACAAAGCAAATATGTGGGAAACCTGTCATGAATTATGATAAGCTGACTGAGGGAGAGTGGTGTTTTGTCTCAAAACATACATATGTGACTGATCTGGGGCAGCCGCTGATGATTTATCCTGCTAAAACTTGGAACAATTCAGATGCATTTCTTATTCATACTGTACAAATCCAAAGTTTGATTTATTGTGATGTGGCAAACTTTAGTTACAGAATTTGTGACTATGTTTCTGCTCCATTAAAAAGTACTGTGTTGTTATTTGAAGACTACGATGGATATGAAACATCACTTTCAAGGTCACTTTTATGGAAACAATATTTTGGCTCATTCAGATTCTCAGATCTTTTTGCCAACTTGTATACTCTTTCAGAAAAATACATTCAGTGACAGAATGGAGAAAACCCCCCCGCAGTGTTGGCATCTTGGAAAAGAAATATCTTCCCAACAAAGTTGGTGGAAGTTTATTTTAAAATGATTCATAATTGTTAACAAATAAATTAGAAACTTGAAAAGTTTAATGACAGTTTTTCATCAAATTGTTCCTTTTGTCATCTTATTTTGGAATTGTGTTTTGAATGACTTTAATTCTGTAATAATAATAACAATAGTAAATCATTTCTGTACTAGCAAAAAACAATTATTTGTGACTCTTTAGGCCCTTTTCATATAAAGTTTAAATATTTTATTACTATTACATGCAACATTTTACATTTTAAAGTTTAAAGAAGTCTTTTTTATTTTCAAGAAAGATATTGATATATATTTGAATTCTTTAATGAGCTCTAAAAAAGACTTGTCTTACAAATATCTGAATTAAAACTAAATTCTATTTCTGATTTGTTAATTTATATTAATTTCGATAATGACTTGTGATAATAGAATAATAGATGGTTTTTGTTTTTCTTTTATATGTGCGGAGACAAAATAAGAATTTAACTGCATGTTGTGAGTGACAAATAAAATTGTCATTTCTATTGCATAACACTTATAATACTCTTAAGTTCATTTAAAAATTTAATGTATTTTAACCCACTTATAATATTTTGTTTATTGTCTTTATTCTTGTATTTTGTATTATTATTATTATTATTTATTTAAAAAAAATGTATGCAAAATATTAAATATAGCATTTAAAAGTTCAGACTGGAGCAATTGGTATTTTATTTTTTGTTTTTTCTTGGAACAACTTGTGGGTGAGTAAATGATGACAGCATTTGCATTTTTGGCTGAACTAGCGCTTTAATGCATTTTGAGCCATTTCAGTAAAACAGAAATACTTCACAACACTGAAGCTAGTTGCAACTTCCATTTCATGCCAACTTTAATGGTACAGCAGAAAATAAAAAAAATAGGCTGTTTAATTCTACAATCCAGAGTGACATGTAAAACTACATAAATTATTTGGTGCAAGAAACCTTGACTAACATTATAAGTGGACCTATGAGGAAAAAAGATAATGTGCTGCTAAAGTGTAGGTCCATTAAAAACAACCTAACACCTGCATTATCCCTTGGTAAACATAATGTGATATTAATTTATATTGGAGTGCATAATTTGTTTCTCTCATTTACCTTGCTGTAATTTAACAGCATAGTCAAGGTCATGAGTTCAATTCCCAGAAAACAAACAGACTCTGTAAATTATTCCTCCATACAAGCGTCTGGCAAATTACCCTAATAAATGAGACAATCCTTGTATTGCACTACAGACACGAACAAAAACACTTCACAATACAAATGACTTTGAGAACGACGGTAGTCCATGAGTCCAGAGCTAATGAATGCAGTATTCGCTCAGTTTGCCTCAGGACACTGGAGTTACTTCTCACAAAAGAAAGGCAGAAGCTGCAGTCAGATGGACTTCACGCAGAGACCCGTCAACTTCCCGCGAGGCAAAGAAAGGTAAAAGCCCAGCTCTGGATATCATACTGAGGAACAGCCATTTGATATGCCAGCATAAAAGGGCATCTTCTCCTCGATGTGTGCTGGAGTA